TCTAGCTGGCTCCCGTCTAACTTGGGGGATTAGCGGGGTCCACCTGGGTCTGTTGGGAGCCATGCTGAGCTACCCCCACCTCCACCCCTACCCAACACTGAAAGAAACAAAAGAGTCATCAAGTGACTCAAAGTTATTTGGAGAACATGGAGTGAAATAGGGTAAGGGTGCTAGTCATTCCTGACTCCCAGGCCTCGACTTTTTTTTTTTTTTTTTTTAAAGAATTGTTTTATTTAACTTTTATTTTTAATTTGACCAGAGAGGAACAGTGAGGGGAGGAGTGAGAAAGCAAGCTACTAGGTCTGGGACTTGAACCATGGTCAACCATGTGGGAGTCCAGCTCCCTTAACCACCATGCCACCTGCTGGCACATTTAAAAAAAATTTTGCCAGAGGGTGTGTGTGTGCTTGCCAGAGAGAGACAGAGACAGAGAGAGATAAAAAGTGAGAAAGCACCCCTCCATGGGGAATGATCACACCACAATCTCCTCTCCTCCACTTCTTCCTCCTTTGGGATTTGGGGCACGCATGCACACACGCCTGGGATGTTTATCAAGCCTCCAGGTCTAAGACTCAAACCACACAGTCAGCCATGTGGGATCCAGCTGCCTTCCTGACCACACCACAGGCTGGCCCAAGTTTTTAAAGTGTATTTATTTCCTGCATGAGTAAGAGAAACAAGAATGTACTCCTGGGACCAGCAGTAGGTGTAATGGCTATGTCACTGGGCTCCCATGTAGTTGACTGCGGTTCGCGTCCCAGACCCAGTGACTTAAAACTCACGCCAGGCACATGTGCGTGCATGCCCAAGATCCCGAGAGGAGAATGGAAGAGAAGGAATTGCAGTGTGGCCATCCCCACCGGGGGGTGATTTCTCGTTTCTCACTTTCTGTCTCTCTCTGTCTTTCTGGTGAGCACATGTGCCCTATAGCAAAAAAACAAAAACAAAACAAAACAAAACAAAACAAACAAAACTTTCAAAAATAAAAAAACACAAACAAAAAAGCCAGTACCCCCAATAGGGTCTCGATGCTGCAATCCACCCCGGCCTCAGTTAATCCTGGACTGTGGGCCCCTGTGTGCCTAGCACACTGGGAACTCTGTGGACAGGAACCCAGATCCCTCCTACGTGGGCCAGCTTCAAAGAGCATGACATTTTACTGCAGCGTCACTGTCCAGACCCACCTCTGCTACTGAGCGCTGATTCAACCTCAGAACGATTCAACGTGTAATCATCCTGCTCAGAGAACCTGTCACCCGGCCAGTCAGTCATACTGTACCTGTCACCTGTCCAGTCATGATCACGCTCTACCCCGCAGAGCAACGCCTTGTCTGGCCCAAGCCAAGAGTATGCCTAAGGTGCCACCCTGCCTTTGCTCGCCTAGTCACCGCTGTACAGAGAGAAGGACCTTCGGGGACAGCATGGGGTGTGCCACTACGATCTGTATTAAACAACTCACATCTATTATATTTTTGCCTCTCTTAAGTTCCTTTTATAAAAGAATTATTTAACTTTACTATTATTATTCTTAATTTGACCAGAGAGAGAAAGAGGGGAAGTGAGAAAGCAAGCTGCCAAGCCTGAGACTCAAACTGCGGTCAGCCACGTGGGAGTCTAGCATCTTAACGACCACGCCACCTGCCGCCTCCACCTCTCCTGACTTTTGAGGCCAGAACTTTCCCCCTTACCCCCAAAGGCTCCTAAGCTGCCTCTTAGGAGGCTCACCAGCTCCCCAAGACCTGTTTTCTCTGCCACATCCTACCCGTCATGTCCCTCCTGAGGAGCCCAGAAGCAGGTGCCTCTGTGTGGTCTCTCTTCCCGGAAACATCCATCACTCTCCATCCTCAGTCTTTTTTGGAGAGGATTTGGCTCTAGGGCGCGTGCGGTTGCCAGAAAGACAGAGAGAGACAGAGAGACAGAAAGCGAGACATCACCATCCCGGGGGCATGGCCACTCCGCAATCCCTTCTCCTCTCAGGATCTTGGGCACGCATGCACAAGCGCCCAGTGTGAGTTTAAGCCACTGGGTCCGGGACTTGAACCACAGTTGACTACATGGGAGTCCAGTGACACAGCCATTATGCCAACTGCTGGTCCCAAATTTTACTATTTTTTAATTTGATGAGAGAGAGAGAGAACGCGAGCAAGCAAGTTGCCAGAGCCAGGACTCGAATGGCAGTCAGTCATGCGGCAGTCAGTCCAGCTTCTTAGTCACCAATACCACCTGTTGGCCCCACAATTTCAATTTCTTACTGTTTTTATTTTTTTATTTTTTATTTATTTTTTGCTATGCAATGCACGCACTGGCTGGAGTCCAGGGGTAGGGTAGGGGGAAGAGTGAGAAATCACCCACCAGGAGGATGGCCATGCAGCTATTCCTTCTCTTTTATTCTCTTCAGATTTTAGGTACACATGCACGCATGCACACCTGGTCTGATTTTCAAGCTGGTGCGTCTGGGACTAGACATGCAAAGTCGGCCATGTGGCACCCAGCAACCTTAACTCCATCTGCTGGCCCAAATCTTTTTCTGTCCAAACAAAACTGTTGGTTAGTAGGTCAAAAATAATGTGGTATATAAGAATAACCATATTGGGACCAGCAGTTAGCGTAATGGCTATGTCGCTGGACTCCTGCGTAGTTGACGGTGGCTCAAGTCCCGGACCCGGGGGCTTAAACTCACGCCGGGCGCGTGGGCGTGCGTGCCCAAGATCCCGAGAGGAGAATGGAGGAGAAGGGATTGTGGTGTGGCCATTCCCCCTGGGGGGT